GAGGATGTTTGTGAAGAAGGAAGACTCTCTCTCTTGCTCTAATTCACCAAAACTCAAGGCTCTCTGCTCTAATCTCTCTGGAAAATGCTCCGTCCCTATCAATGATGGCCATAGGGGGGTATTTATAGCCTCCTTAGACGATAACTGAAGAAATAGCCGATCAACAACTGCCTCTTTAGGCGCGGTAGTTGATGCTGTCGCGGCTAAAGGGCGCGGCAGTCGACACTGTCGCGGCCAAAGGGCGTGGCAGTCAACACTGCCGCGGCTAAAGGGGCAGTTACACCCATGTTCATTCGTGTTTAAAACTGTTCTCCCACGACCTTTAACCACCTTTTTCGTGGTTTAACTGCTCGTCCACGTCAGCACACGTTCTATCTCTGATATGCCGCCACGTGGACTTCAAATAATCATCGAATAACTGTATTGTAACCGCCGCAGCACCCCCTATAATAGCCGTGGCACCATGAGTTACCGCGCCTAAGCCGCGGCACTATGGGCTGTCGCGCCTTAGCCGCGGCACTATGATCTGCCGCGCCTTAGTCGCGGCACTATGAGCTGTCGCGCCTTAGCCGCGGCACCATGTACTGTCGTGCCCACACGCTGTAGTTTGCATTGTTCTGTGAATTCACATTGTTTTGTTTTGATTCATAGATCCTTTTGCTTCCTTTGGGCTTGTATGATCTCCCATGACTTAGATACTGATGTTTATCACCTTCTCTTTGTCTTGAGTGGTATTTGGATGTCTGTAAGCATTTTTTGACGCCTACATGCACTCACCACAGAGTTACCGTGGAACGACTTTCGTAAAATTATGAAAGATAACTGTGACCCAGAACATGTCTAATCAAGAGGATGTGCATCGTCTAGTCAATGCTATAATAGTAATAGCCAAGAAAAAACCTCATATCAGGATATCGATATCGAGGGCATGGCCATGCTATGAAGACACGCTTATAAATCATTTTTTTGATGGAAGTCGTCTTCATGTATAGTCTAGTCTATTTGATGACATTACTAATCAACGCGGATTACAACTACACAATCTATTTCAGAGTATAATAAAGTACTCAAAATGAGCTAACAAGTTCACTAAAATAATATAAGATTTAAAACTGGTAAGGGAACTAATATTTTGAATGACAAAAAGACACGACCCATTTGAAAGAATTTTTGGGGCAACAAAACTGAGTTTTAGAGAACCTAGAAACTATATGGGGAAAAATGAATGGTCTAAGGATCGAACCACGAACCACTGCACAGAACACAACCAATCTAACCACTTTGCCCTAAAGCTTTCTAGTGTACATGCTACTATCTAATGTGTAATAATCACACCAATGAGGAAAATCTCTACATACATGACCGTAACTAATTGTAAACTGAAGGGAACAAGAAACCAATGATAGAAACAATATGGTCATATAGTTTCATTTATTTACAGCTCATGTCATCAAACTATTTACAGCTCATGCTATTTTTTTCTTTTAGTGACATGAACTTCAACCTAACTACTAAAACAACTAGGTTTAAAAATATATACAATAAATTAATCAAATTAATAACATATGTACAATGAACTAATCAAGTTAATATCATATGCATAGTGAATTAATATACAATGTACCAATCAAATTGATAACTTACAAAATATTAAAATCATGAAAAAAAATAACGAGTGAAAAAAGAATGCTTGCATGAAGAAAAATCAATAATAATAATAATAATAATGAAAATAATAATATTTGAGGAAAAGAATGCTTGCCGATTTGTCGAAGAAAAAGCTATGAACCTCAAATCCTAAAAGAAAATCCAAAACTCGTCCTCTCCTTCTCTTGTTCTCGGTTGGGGTTGAGGGAAGAAGAGGAGAGAAGATCTATATATAAGGGAATGTTAAGATTTTTTTGTGAAAAAGAGTAGTTGTAACCAAAAACAGCAGGGATTCATGATTGGATGTGGGAGGATCAATTCACAAAGATTTGTTGGACAAAGTATCCGGAAAATCTTTTTTTTTTTTCATGATCTCACAAAAAAAAATCATAACAAACCACGGCAGAAGTGGAGTTGCATACATGGGCTTTACTAATGGGCTTTTTTTCAATTCCAAATCATGTGGGCCTCTTATATAAGACCTTGCATTAAAAATTTGAGTATTACAGGTACTAATTTGAATTACAAGATATTAACAATAGGTTTTTGGATTTAACGCAATCGACCATCTACAACACTAGTCCAACGGTAGAAAATGAAACTTGTTGACTTTGAACAAGGAAAAGCTAGATGACAGATTCTAATTCTAATACTATTTTTACTCCTTTTTCGGTTTCTACCACGTTGTAATTACCAACTTAGTACTGCAGAATATAAAATATTATAGCTCCAATTCTTGACGGTTCGAATTACAGACAACTCCATCTACAATAAACAAAACAATTGGACTACGCATTGTCGCAACTGATTGACATCAATACATCTAACAAATAGGACACTAAAAGGACTTGTATATAAAATATTCATAGCAAATTACTTTTTTCACCAAGAAAGTAGGTGGGCTAAGGCACTAGCTAGCCAGTCTGAAGGATTGGAACCCTGTTATGTTTGATATAAACCACGTAGGGATGGGTGTGGGCCAGGCCAGTTGAGGCCCGTGACCCGGCTCATTGAGTTTAAGGCTTGGTCAGGTTTGACCCGGGTCTAATCGGATTAAAATGGGTCGGACCTAATTCTCTGATACTGGGTCTGGAACTGGATGCAGTCTGGCCCACGACCCGTCTAGGGAAGGGCCGGGTTTGACACGGCCCACGGCCCATGGGTCGAGGGTCAATCCATGGGTTTTTCGTCTAAATTTTTTTCCCTTTTTTTCAAAGAAAAAAGATTGTATATTTATTAAGAATAAAATATTACACATGTGATGATGACAAGCGGGCAACAAGCTGCGCCGCTAATCCTTTCTGAATTGTAAAACCTAACCTACGAAACACGTACTCAGCGGACCCTGCTGTCGCCACATTCTTATTCATGAATTTCTATACCCTCCTGAAGAACTCTGCCGCATCAGCTGTAAGGAAACCAAACGTATCAAAAGTGAACGGAATGAAGTAGTGGTGGTTGTCATTGCAAGCTTGATCATGTTTGCCCACCTTTGCCTCTGCTGCTCTATCCGCTGCATACCCAACCTTGAACTCTCAATTACCAAACCTCACTAACGGAGACACCCCTGTGAGATCAACACAAGCGTGCTTCCCCCGTTCTAATTGTAGACAAGAACGTCTGCCGGCCTTAGAGTAGATCTAGCCTCTTCAAGAGGAGTGAGAAAGTTAACCGGCGCTTCCTTCTTTGATGGAATCCCTGCTCCTTTTTTTACCTTTTTTTTAACAGGTAATTTTTTTCTAATTAATTTTTAGTGCTTCTTTTTATTTATTTTCTTTGATATTTATATATCTATTTACAAACTGCATATTACACATGTGATGATGTCAAGCGGGCAACAAGCTGCGCCGCTAATCCTTTCTGAATTGCAAAGCTCAACCTACGAAACACGTACTCAGCTTACCTTTTTAATTATATTAAACTTGTATTTACAAGTATAAACTTATTTCTAATTTATTTAGTAATTTAAACTTATATTAAACTATTTTTAAACTTGCATTAAACTTTTTAATACTTTCAAGTAAACAGCCACGCGCTTGAAAATCACTATTTTATCTCTAAATGGGCTATAAAGCCCACTAGCCAAAGACCAGTGGCATTTTGGCCTTATTGGCAATTTGCTGCAGACCTAAAGAGCTAAAAGAATATCTAGTCTAATCAAAAATATATATCATTGATCGGGACGGGAAGGGTCAGGCCAGGCGTGGGGGAGGTCGGGCCGAGTCGAGAGTGGGCTGGGCCAGCATGGGCCGGGCCTACTTCTCTGAGCTCGGGTCTGGGGCTAGACACAGCTCAGCTCGTGACCCGAGTATATCCTAGATTGAGTCGGGCCCGGCCCACTACGAACCGAACTAGGTCATGACCAATAAGCAAGCTGGGCCGGGTCGACCCGCAGGCTAACCCGGCCCACACGGCTACACCCAACCCTAAAACCAATTCAATTTGGTATGTTTTTGAAACGACATCAGAATTTTATCTTACTATACAGGGTTCGTGTAAAAATAATAGTGTGATATATGATGTATCATGAATCTTAAAGCATGCACCACTAATGTCTATTTATACAATTACAACGGTCTATCATCACGATTTGTAATTGTATAAATTAAATAAAAATAAAGATAAAATAAAATATTAAGAAAAAAAGGGAAAACAACAAAAATATTACCAGTCAGTTTTATCTCATCTGGCCATGGGTCCACTCCATACTAATTTTTAGAGTAGAAACCTTGACCAGCTGGCCTAATGAATTGGCATCCTAATTACTAAAGCCGTACCTATAAATAAGCCCCATCTTCTTCGAGCTTCTTCAAACCCATACTCGTTGCTCTTAAAGTAATTAACTTGTAATTAATTAGCTAAGTGTAGAAAGAGGGGGGAAATTATATAGTAAACCCTTTTTACTCAACAATGATCTCAAGATGAACTTAGAAGCATCTTGTACCTTCGGTCATACACTTTTAAGAATTGACCACAAGAATAGTACAACCACAAACCAAAACCAAAGCAATCAACAACTGAAATAGGATAATTTAGCAAGCATCAATTAGACACTGACGAGCTCACAACCTAAGGATAAAGAACAAGCCCAAGGCTCAGATTTTCAACCTAATAAACAAGAAGAAAAATTCCCCAAGTACCCAAAATATAGGACCAACGGGAGGAACATGTGAGGTACCCCCCTCCTATTGCGTAATGAACTGGTCATCATTAATGATGGTCAGCTCATTATGCAATAGGAGAGGGGCACCTCACATGTCCTCCATGTTGGTCTCATATTTTAGATCCCTGTAACAAAGCTCCTAGTTGTTTGTGGTTTTCAGTACAGAGGTTGGACATATGACGTCAAGATATAAATATAATATAAAAGAAAACTTTAAATTATCATTTTTATGATGCTTATGACCTGTTTAAACGCCATCTTACATAACCCTGACCTTTTCCTATATATACTTTGCCACCAATTTACACCCCAGAAAAACACCCTTGTTGCTTATTTCCTATATACTCCACAATTTTAAAGCAAAATGACAAAAGGAAACTTATGATGCATAATTTGAATTTAACCCGAGTTACTTCCACAATTTGACAGTTCTATCATGGCTTGCAGAGGCAAATGTTCCCGTGGCTGTGAGAGCGAGAGCTGAAACTAAGCCATCATGAGCACGGATAGACATCGTCTTATTCTCCATTCTGTCCCAAAGTTCTAATTGCTGCAACAATGGAAATAAAATCGAGTTAAAATTTACAACCAAATAAAACTAGTGTCATTAAGCATGTGAGGTCTGATTTGTTGAAAAACTCATAAAGACAATTGGAAATTTGACAAACTTGAATATCAACACTAACGCAAGATTCCTTGTTTGAAGACATGAAAATTTTCAAGATATTCTGGCGAGAAAAAACTTGCCTAAATTTTATTTTTAAAATACTACAGAATTCCCTTAACAGGAAGCAAGTCCAATCGATTAATGGAGCAGCATACATGGGAACACCAATGTTTCTCTAACCACAAACTATAGAAATTATATATTTTTTTTGGGTTAATTGCTGCCACGCCCTAGTTAGTTGCTCACTGCCCATATACTTATTATTATTATTGTTATAAATCAGACCCACTGATGCCCAAACAGAATTATCTCCCATTATATGTACTTGTCACGCGGTTGTCATGAGACAGCCAATGTGTTGATAGGAGATTCCTTGATATTTCAGTGTGCAAAGAGAACCTCTATTCTCTTATATGTGTCGAACAAATACCTCCTATAGAGCAAGTGCAAGTACAGATAACGGAGACATAAATTTGTTTCAGCATCGAAGAATCTAAGTGCTAATAGAAAATTAACCCCACAGCTGCAATTAACCCTACATTTTAACATGTGTCACAAGGGAATATAGCCATGGTAGACAATGTATGAAGGGAGAAGAACGTTAAGAAAAAAGTAAACTACAACATTGCATCAAGACTACATCACTGGAAACGAAGTCCCAAATAATATTGAACAATTAAGAAAGGCAGTAGTTTAAGGATAAGACACTAATAGCACCATAATGAATTAAAAAGGGCTGAAAGATATAACTCAATTACCTGATATCCACCAATAACCAACAGCCCAGGATAGGTTGGATGGAAAAGACAAGAATGGTAATTGTTTCCACTAGAGTTTAGCTCATGTGTGCACTCTCCAGATGCTAAGGACCAAACCTTTACAGTATCATGACTAACAGTTGCAAGAAATTCACCATTTGGATCCCAACAAACAGATTGTACCTCTTTGTTATGACCCTGCAAATTAAAGACATCGCAGAATATGATAGCTAATAAAAAATAAGTACAATATTATAAAGAATCTAATGGTTATACTCTAAACGTTCCCATTCCTCTCTGCATAAATGGCATATAAATAAAATTTTCCATTTTCCACCAAGTAAATGCACAAAAATGGAACTGCAAGATCACAGTCGATAAAGACCTGTAATGCGTGGATCCTTCTTTTCGCTTCAAAATCAAAAATGGAGACCACATTATCTGCTCCTGCAGCTAGAAGCTGTCCAATTCTGGGCTGAAATCTCACTAGTCGTGAACTACCCTGTTAATGGACAGTTCAATATTGATTACAAGAATGAAGATATCTTACCTTCCAAAGGAAATTAATGAATTAAATAAAGAATGAAAATGAAGCACAGGAATCAACCTTAGAATACGAAGAGCTTGAATATTGACTGACATTCCACAACCGGATTTCAAAATCATCACAAGAGCACAAAATGTCCGTCTTTTTTGGGTGAAAATCTAGTGATGTTACTTGGGAGCTGTGTCCAGGAAATGTGTGCATAAGACAGATTGGCTACGAAACAAACAAGACAAAGTTATATATACATTTAGCCAGGAAGAAAAGTTACTTTTTGAACAAGGTAACTATGTGTGAAGCAGAACAAGAAAAGTTATACATAGAATTTATGTATACATGTTAAAGTAACTAGAATCGCAGGCGAGAAATAGGCGCACTAACACTGAAAGAATATGATCAGCAAGCGTATATAGACAAAATTATGGCAGCACATCAAACACTTCCAGACTTATAAAAGACAAACTTACAATGAGAGACATATTACAAGAAAGAAATATCATGACGGAAGCAAATATTTGATTCGTTAACAATCTTGAAACAGGGTATCATCGAATTGTTGTCATAGAACAACAGTGAGATACACAATGTTTATGTCATGAAGGAAGAGTTAGTATCATACAAATTGAACACTATGGAGCTGAACAATGGGAGGATTCATTTAAGCCTCCATCTTGTTAAGATGCACTATGTATTCAGGTACGCGGCGATCTGATTATCATGTAGAACAGCAGAGTTATTAGGAAAAGAAAACATGTATAAGATTTTTTTTCTCCTCCTTTTCTTTCAGATCTCGCTGCCTTTTAGAACTTTTCTTTCTGAAACAACTTTTTTCCTCAAAGAAAGTGAGAAGATAACATGGACAAGAGAGAGTGAACAAGGATGCAACAATGGAGAAAAAGAGAAAAAATGTTTAAAAAGGAAAAAAACAAACTTGTGGGCATCGTACTACTTTATATGTTTTTGGGACACCTCTACACGCATAGAGTGGGGAACAACCTGATCACTTGTGGGCACTACAACCTAAAGAAAATTATCAACGAGTCTCCAACTAAGTCTTCTTTGACTAGATTACCTACTGCTTCCATTACTATCTTCAATTTGTTGGGAAGATGCGACATTTAATCTCCTGGTGTATAAACGAATTCCCTCACCTATTACTCACTCTCTGGCTTCTTCACCAATGAATTACTTCTGAGGCTGCATTGCTATGTTCTTTTATCCAAACAATTTTTTTTGCCATGATTATCTATATGACTGTAATTTTTCTTGGCCTGCAGTCAGTTGCCTGTCAATTATCCGCACAAAACTGTCAAATCAGATTTAATTTCAATTCTTGAAGTTTTTATGGAGAAAAAGCAAAAGCCAACTTCGGGGCCCCGTGTTTGGGCCATGGAACTCTGGGCCTCTGCTTCCACATGATTGTATTCTTGATTACAGACCTCAAACAGTCCTTTTATAGGAGCACGTTATTTGGTATTACCCGTTCCACGAGTCACCTATTATCTCCATATTTACACAGTTTAGTCTATTTCATTAAAAGTTCATTTTACCAAATTGCACATTGCAAACTTTATATTTACCACATTTATTTGCTCATTAGTTTCTTAATTTGCAATCAGTTCAGCAACTGCATTTTCTTAGTTAAATACAGAATGACAGGTCTCTCTCACTCATTGCTTTTCTTTCACCAAAGCAATGAGACCTTAAAATTTACGTACTTACAAACTCGTCAATTTAGCACATGCAAATTCGTGTGAAATTAAAAAGTAAATATGAACTCCTTTATATCTTTAGTGAAAATTTTATTGTGGAAGGATGTACATGAAAAGGAGGCTATAGGTCGGCCACTAGAAAGCTCCATGAATCAGTTAATAAATGACAAATCTAGCATGTCCCTTTATCCCTCCATATGATGATGCAATGCACAAACAGCAAATTTTCGGAGTCATAAACATAGTTACATGGAATGCGGTTTGCTCCAATTTATGGGAAAGGAACGGGGACGGGAACAGGAGCATGATACACCACTTATTTGAAATAAGGACGATGGGGTAGGCTAGGGGTGCTAAACCGTATCCGTATCCAAGAAAATATCCGTAACCATATCCGTTAGGATACGAATATGGTTACTCAAATCTATAACCGATAGGATATGGTTACGGATATGGTTTTGTAGTGAAATATCCGTATCCGTATCCGAAATATCCGAATACATATTAGTCATACTCTTACGATAGTTTCAATTCTTAGATTATGGATTTGTGGTTAATTTTGATGATCAAGATGTCTAATCTTAACTTTTCAATTATAATGAACATATTAACAAACTCTTTTGTATCACATGAACTATGTTTTTCTCAATACTATCTAGTTTTCTCATATCTGTTTTGTATATGCATGCATATCCGCTTGTATATCCGTATGTATATCCGTAACCGTATCCGATTTTAGCGGATATGATTATAAATTTTTCTTACCGAGGTATATCCGTATCCGTATCCGCATCCGAGATGGGTAAGCGGATATGGATATGATAAGCATCATATCCGAGCCGTATCCAGACCGAATGCACCCCTAGGGTAGGCTTATACAGTATGTTAAGGCACGTGATATGCTTTAGGTTCGTTTTTAAACATGAGAATTAAGATTCTGCAAGACTCAAATTTAAGAAATATGTTATAGTTGATATCAGTAACGGTTAAACAACCTTGAGAATCATATTGCAATTAAGGTATGTATACTTTATTTGGTTAATTTCTCGCACTTGTTGATTTTTATTTTCAAAATTTTAAATGGTTTGAATTCTACATATAGAAAAACTTTTGTTTAGGCTCGGCTTTTAGATATAGGAATTTAAGGTTTCACAAGAGCCAAATTAACAAAATATGATAATTGATATAAGTAATGGTAAAGGAACCTTGAGAATTATATTGCAATTAAGGTATACATGCTTCACTTGGTTAATTTCTCAGGCTTTTCGTTGTTTATTTTTCTGCAAAATGGTCATATTTTTCAAAAAACTTAACTAGTTTAAATTCTAAATCAATTGTGACGCAAAATGCTAAGGTTCCCCATCCCGGGAAGTTCAAACCCGTGTTTAAGTTCCATATACACTCCCAAGTTTCATGCACCTACTTATAATAGTAGAAAAAGGTATACAACTGCCTCAAATGTGCATTTCAGGATAGGTGAAAGAATATGGTTTGTTCTTGGAAATGCAAAAAAGCACTGTTAACAAGTAAAGCATGTAACTCATAGTACCAAAGTCACAATTGAAAGCATACTGCAAACAAGACCTGAAAAAACTAACTGCATATAGACATATTGGGAGATGGTGTGAAATGCACCTTATTTATGTTCACACTGTTGATGCAGTGTGATATTGCACACTGAAAAAACTTATCATGTTCGAGAAGATAAGTGAGCATATATGATATGGTAGGAGTAAAAACTAATAGAGGAGAGAATATGAAATGCCTAGTCAATATAAATCAAGCGAGAATGCATGAGCAACAAAAAAACTAACTGCATATAGACTTAGAATTATTAAAACAAATGCGAACGGATATAGCTACAAGACAAAGAAATGGATAACAAGATAGGATGTTCTTAAAGAAGAGATTCTTACTTCAGCAGCATTCCAAAGCCGGACAGTCCTATCAAAAGAAGATGTTGCCAACTGAGTTGAGTCTGGCCTAAAACGGATGTCAGTTATAACACCCATGTGCTCTTCGGGAGTACTTGCAGTGAGAAGAGTGCCCATGTTCCAAATAAATACCTACCGGCATACAAAAGAATAAGACAAGCATATAAAGAGTCCTTCTAATAACAATATGAGACAAGATTGCGGGCAAATAAAACAGAATCTAGAAAACATGATGCAACTGAATCACAAATAGATCTCATGGATCAATAAAGCTTTTCTTATAAAAAGGGTGGGCTCTGGAGATAATTCGAAGAGAATCAATGAAGAAATTGTCCAAAATTTCATAGCTCGTGATTGATCTGGCAAAGGCCCTCTACAAGTTTGAACTAGGCCGCCATGGATTCAACTATAGACACGAGGTTTTTGCTATAATGCCTAGATTCTAGAAAGCCAAGTAGTAGTTTGGGACCGGCCTATTGTTCATAATATTTAAGACCATACAACAGGAGCTATCCTGCTATACTAAAGGATAGGAAGAAGTCTGGATGCCAGATAAAGGGCGAAATGAAAAGACTTTACATGTGGGGAAGGAAACTAGGTATGAAATATGAAATCATGATGTAGTTGTATAAATGAAACCAGAAGCATGTATTTGTCTCCATGGAACCTTGTCATTGACTTCTAAATCTTTTATGTAACACCATAAATGGAATTATTAGAAAATCACATTCCAAACAAAATGCGGTCAGGATTCAATCACTGTTAAACACTGCTAGACATCTCCTATATCTACTTTCTATGCAGAACCTTATCTGTAGACAACAGACAGTAACAAAGATAATAGAAAAGTTGAGGCAGGAAGAACAAACAAGAACACTTTTGGACCTTGACTCATCCATCTCAGAATATCGGTCTTTCATGGGTTGTTGTAGCTTGCATTTCAAATATACCAAAAGAATAATTGGATACTTCTTATCTCATTGTACATACTTTTTAGGGACTCACATTACCAAACTAGCTGTTCCTGATTATGAGCATCCAAAGAATTAGTCGGGTGTTAATGCCACAAGCAAGGTTACTAGGTTTAGTGCTAGTGGGCTATGAAGCACGGACACGCATAACATGAAGCCGTGTCGTGTCGTGTCCGTGTCGGACACACGTGTCGAACACACGTATCCTATGTATTTTTTAGGATTTGCCTCGTGTCGGCGTGTCGGATGGCCGTGTCGGATCCGTGTCCGTGCTACATAACACGCATAACATGAAGCCGTGTCGTGTCGTGTCCGTGTCGGACACACGTGTCGAACACACGTATCCTATGTATTTTTTAGGATTTGCCTTGTGTCGGCGTATCAGATGGCCGTGTCGGATCCGTGTCCGTGCTACATAGCTAGTGGGTTACTGTAGAACAACCAGAAAACAAACAATTACCCAAAAAAACCATGCAATGCCACACTGCTCACTTGGTTTCACCTGTAAATCTGACTTCACAGAACTTCCTCAAGGGCACGCATCAAATGCTATAAACAGATGCAATGCCTCGATCTGTTGTTTGTCTCAACAATCAAACTCAGTTTTTCTACCCGACCCACTTGTACTTGACATCCTAGTGGACTTGACCTCCTAGCATGCCAAACAACCAAACAAACTTTTTTGCACGTCTAAAATTAAACATGAGTTGCGCATATCTATCACCAACACTCTAACTTCATATATAATAAAGAATAGAGAATATATAAATAAAAACTCTTACAAACACATATTCTAGTGATCCACTAGGAATATGACAAGATAACCAACAAATACTCTTACAAACACGAACTTTCTACTATATCATTTTCCCCTACTTTAATTAGAATTACTGATAAAGTGTGTAAATGACCCTGCCACTATACCAAACTCCCAAGTAATGGTGAGGGTTGAGGGATATAATTTTATGCGTCTAACATGCCCCCACAGTTTGAACATGCTTTTTATAGGCCTAAACCTGGACAGCGGTATCCATACTTTTAAAACCCACTGAATTCGTGGTTGATGAGAATTGAATCCGGATTGCTCTGATACTATGTCAAAGGATCTTGCCACTGCACTAAAACTCCGAAATTAGAGAGAGGCTTGAGGGTTATAGCTTATACTCTTAACAAAGAGAAAATCATTTCTATTCTAAGATGTGGTGTGTGATCAACTCAACTATGCATAATATGTCGTTCAAGGAATATCAAATAAACAATAGTAATAATATGTTTTACACATCCTAATATCCTGTAAACTTGTTGGGGTTAAATTTATGACATGTAACATTCTGCTTCTAGTATTTATACAACAGGACCAGCTTTTTGAAATAAAAGATGGAACTTCTCACAAATATTAGAGATCAAGAATTGCATTTTACCTTCTTATCGTGTCCAGCACTAGCCAATAACTTGCCATCTGAAGAGAAATGACAGCAGCTGACTTTGTTGCTACTTGTTCGGTTACAAGCAATCTCCGTGATAGCTGAACAAACACTAGGATATAGTTTACGACAATGTCAAGAGATACTAACTAAATTACGAGGGAAGAAACTACCTTTCGAAGTCTCCGTATTGTGCTCGGCGGGGCTGTTTTTTGTGGGAGCAAATACGTCCCTTGCATCTTCACCATTTGACAAAAATGATTCTACATGCTCATCTAGTGTACCGATGTCACCAAAATTTTCCAGATCATCCTGCCATTACAAGATGTATGTAGTTACATCATATGAAATTAAATTGTACTTGGCGGCAGAAAATAATGAACTGCAATGACTCTTCTTTTAAAAAAAATCAAGCTCTCTTTTTTCAGCTTCCATGTGAATAACTAG